TATATATATATATATATATATATATATATATATATATATATATCGATTATAGTTGCAGTTCAATTTATAATTACATGAATCATTCATACAAAAAACAAATATAGAGGTTAATTATTTAAATCATTAATCTCTATATTTGTTTTTTTGTATGAATGAATCATGTAATTATATATATATATATATATATATATATATATATATATATATATATATAATGTTTATACGTTGTTTTTATAGTTACAAATATTTAAGTAAATGCTTTGTTTATAATAAACAGTATTAACAACATTTACAGGACTGAATGTCCGAGAGATTACATAGAAAATAGGTGTCCTCATATCAAACCTGTATCCTACACGGGACCGTCATATAACCTGATATGCTGTACCATTTAGTTACAGAGGAAGCCTCTGGTCAGCAACGTATAAACTGAAACAACGTATAAATAGAAATTATATTAAAATTATTGTCGGACTTAGTCCATTTCATAACATATGATGTTTTATATATATATATATATATATATATATATATGTTATATATATATATATATATATATATATATATATATGCATGATGTATGTGTTTTATCTATACACACACACATAACAGTTATATATCAATTATATATCTATTATATTTATAAATATAAATGACAATTTATTTATTATCGTGTTTAGTTACGACTTTCTTCAAAGTAAAAAATTAATTTATTTCAGTAACTTCGTTTGGAGGAATTTAGTTGCCTTTTTTTCTTTATTTGTTATATTATATATATATTTATATATATATATATATATATATATATATATATATATATATATGTCGGTAATCAGCATGACTGATGCTAACCTCCATGGGAGGGGATCATTTAATTTTCTGCTGACATGAAATGGCGAGATTATATTGAATTCATTGTTAGATGTCTGCCAAGAAATTTGGCCAACTCTGTCGTGCTAGACAATTTTTCTTTCCAGAATCTATCTTATATATTTATTTGCCTATCATACGTCCTTGGCTTGAATATTCCTGCCACATCTGGTCTGGTGCTGCTGCTATATATTTCAAATTTCTTGATAATATCCAAAAAAGAATCTGCAATATTATTGGTGCTAACCTGACAAGTCGGCTGTAATCATTTTCCCACCGCCATAACTTAGCTTCCCTGTGCCTTTTCTATAAATACTTTCATGGTAATTGTTTTTGGTGAGCTTTCCACTTTGGTACCTAGACCTTATGAATTTAAGTGCAGTACTAAATTGTCAGCAAAGTTTCATGATGTTATAGTTGAAATAGTCAGATGTTACCGTAAGTTCTATGCTAACAGTTGCTTCTCTTGCATTTCTCACTTGTGGAGCTCTCTTCCAGCTTCTTGCACTCCAGCCAACTTTGATCTTAATAATTCAAATGCAATGTCAATCTTTATTTTCTGTCTTCTTAATTCTTGTTCTTTTATTGTTCTCTCTCCTTAATATTTTTTCTGATATTTTCCAACACTCAGTAATGTCTTGCGCCTTAGTGACTTTATTGTTTTGATTGGGGTGAAATGATTTTTAAAAAGTAAATCTTATATTAATGGGTGAATAACAAAAATGGTTGCACGAACGAGATAAACCGGTATAAAGTAATAAAATGCAGTTTTAAGGATAGTTTTAATGGTCATTTTCCATATAAATATACAGTTACTACATACAAAATACACACAATAAACACACATTATTACATCACAGAAATTATTGGTAACTATACAAGAGTGTGCTGAACAACAGAAAATTGTCTATCCCTCCTCTATTCAATCAAATCGAATTCCTGACGTCTACAATAAAGTTTGAATGCTTTGCTCGGAAATCATCTTCCAACTCAACACGACTCAATTGGAATACCCATACTTGAGTTATATGTGCATAATCCCGTCACATTATTTCTAAATTAGACTCCCATAAGGCAAGCAAGTGTGGCGGGATCCCAGCCATCATCCTAAAGAAATGTGCTTCCGAGCTGACTCTAGTCCTCTTCAAACTCTACAACTATTGCCTTGCTGCTTCCTGCTTTCTAGATCGTTGGAATTTTTCCTCTGTAGTTCTTTTGTTTTAGACCTCTGAAACTTCTGATTCTTCTAAATATCGCCATATTAGTCTCCTATCGATTTTGGCAAAGTATTTGAGTCTTTAATCAATGCTGACCTGGTTAAGCATCTTACCTCTTACGACCTTCTCTCTGATAAAAAAAATATGGCTTCCGATTTGCCAGATCTACCGCTGACGTGCTAACGGCCATCACGGAATATGTATATCAAGCTCTTAGTAATAACGGCGAAGCACGAACTGTGGCTCGAGATATCTCGAAGTCGATTGACACTATTTGACAAACGGGTCTCCTCCGTAAGAGTCAGGACTACATTATTACTGGACGTGTGTTTGATTTAATCCAATCATTCTTATCAAATCGGGAAATAAAGTCGTTTTGAATGGGCATACTGATAGATCTTTTCACACGAAAGCGGAAGGCCCCCAAGGCTTTATTATGGGTCCTACGCTGTTTCTGAAGTTCATCAATGATGCCCTTGATGTCACCAGTTCCCAAGTACGGATTTATGCTAGAGACGCTACTATTTACTCCTGTCTCAAAAGCAGGTCAGTCAAGGTTGACAAAGTTAACCTGGCCGCTGGTCTTAAAAAGGATCTTCAATCAGTGATTAACTGGGGCAGGAATAGCATGTAAATTGTAATGCTTGCAACACAAATCTTCTCTCATTTAATCAGCATAAACTTTTCTGTCCACCATTAGCATTGCTGATACTGGACTCATGGAGAGCAACACACTGTGGAACGTCTACAACAAATCAATAGCTGCAAGTAAAGTTGGGTCCCTGCATCATAGCAGAAGGTTTTTCTCGTCAGATTGCATATTTACAAATCTACTGTTCGTCCGTGCATTAAATACTGTTTCCATGTCTAATGGATGTCAGTTATCAGTTAGACATGGCACGTGGAACTAGAACAGTCTACCCCAGTGAGCGAAATAAAGTGTTCAGTTCGACATTCCAACCACCTAAGAAGGCATAATATGCTATATTTCTGTTGAATTTCAATCCCATATATATATATATATATATATATATATATATATATATATATATTAATTTCAATTATAAGTGCAATTTTAATTTATAATTACGTGAATCATTCATACAAAAAAAAAACAAATATAGAGGTTAATGATTTAAATGGCGAGAATACATCATCGCAAACAATATCAATAAGATACACCAACCCCGAACCTGTATATGAATAATATGATCCCTGTTTATAAATTCCAGTTGCATAAGGTCTTTTTTAATTTTTACAAGCTTTCGTCTGTTCCTACAGACATCCTCAGGTATGGAAATAGATTTGTTCTTGGTTTTTACTTCTCGGTAATAAGAGGACAACGAAAATAGTGATGTAATCCGAAAAAATGCTATGAGAAATGTGTTATTGTTTTGGAACTTGAGATGTAATCCGAAGTATGAACTATATTGCATGAATGATTCATGTAATTATAAATTAAAATTGCACTTATAATCGAAATTAAAATAAATGATCCAACGTGCAACTTTCGGATAATAAGTGTTACATTACTGTAATTATTGAACAATATAGTTCATGCCACATTGATGAAAAACCTACCTGTACAAAAAAAGAATTCTTTTTACTATATTTGTACAAAAACGCACAACCTTAAAATTTAAAATTCAAACTCAGCGTTGCGACCGCACGTTCCAAAACAATAACACATTTATGAACAGGGATCATATCATTCATATACAGGTTCGGGGTTAGTGTATCTTATTGATATTGTTTGCGAAGATGTATTCTCGCCATTTAAATCATTAGCCTCTATATTTGTTTTTTTTTTTGTATGAATGATTCATGTAATTATATATATATATATATATATATATATATATATATATATATATATATATGATCCTTATTCATACACAGTATATAAAACTGATATTTTAACGCATTTAGATTAAAAAGAAATACAAGTAATTTTAGGTTTTAATAAAATGTTAGGTATTAGTAAGTTTTATATTTTCAAAAGTATGATACTTATTCAATGCATTCCATGCACAATGGTGTTGTGCATTTATTGCAGTAAGGTGCTACCAATTTTTGCCTCTTTTCTTTTCGAGAAGCATGCATGACGGCATATCCCCGTCTCTGGCTTCTTTCGGGTTTATTTGCAGGCAAATACACCAGGAAATGGCGTTACCTCATCAATCCTTGTAAATAGTGACCTCTAGATTGCTGGAAATACCAATTATTCATTTAGACTTGAATCATGAATAAATAATGTCCATATTTAAAAAAAAAGAACGTTAAAATCTTCAATTGATGATGACCGCTGATCTGAGATGACACATCAACTGATAATGGCCACCAATGAAGAGAGAAAACGAAAAAGTATTCAAAATGCAATAATTTCGTAATCTTCCTCAGTATTTTTTTAGGTGAAGGACCATGAAACGATTCTGCTTTCCTGGCAAAACAAATACTGATACAATGCGGGTTATTTTAACCCGAGAACACTAACCATCAATTAATGTTACACCACTACTAACCATGGGTATATCAAAAAAATATTAAATATAAATCTTTATTTGAAATATTTTAAATGCAGGCACATCAAACTTTGTACTTTGAGTTAACCTTAATAGGGACTGAAAAACATTATATTTAGGTAAGAAAATCAGTTATTGAAAATTGTAATTAAAAGTAGTAAAATTTGCACTGGGTATATTATACCCATAGTTAGTGTTCTAGGGTTAAACAACAGCTGTTAAAATATAAATAAAAACAAAAGCCATATAAAACTGAACAAAGTCGGTTAGTTTATATATCCAGTGACACTGATCAAGGTAAACTTAAAAAAAACTAAATTCAATGATACGTGTCTGTATCTTTGATAAGTATAAGCGGTGTTTGTTATGTTCCTTCCAAAACCATATGACTTATGGCCATATCACGTTGAAACACCGGTTCTCGTACGATCACTGGAGTTATGCAACGCCGCGCCTGCTCAGTACCTAGATGTGTGACCGTTTGGGGATTCCAGATGCTGTAAGATTAGATGTGCTTGTAGGATATTGGCTAACGGGCCAGAATTGGAAATGGGATAGCCAAGTTCCAATCCGTGTTGTTTTCGTTATATTCCCTTACGCGCAAATACCGTTGGGTAAGGCATGAAGCCATCTCTTCTCTCATTCCCAGTTAAGGATTAATTAGTAGGACTTGTATTAGTAAATTATTATTATTTCAACAAAATTCATATAATAAAAAAATGTAGCTTTGAATAAGCCACAGAATCTATCTATCTACTATCTATATTTCTCATGTTGTCTGTCAGTGTGTCTGTCGTGGGCGTTGTTACCTCGCTCAGGCCGCATTTCTCACCCGATTTCGATGCGGTTTTCAACACAAGTTTGCAAATGACGGAGCCCGATTTTTGGGTTCGGAATCAGGTTCCGAAAAAATCGATAATCGAAAAAATCAATAATCGAAAAAATTCTGCTTACAGAAGGAATGATCGCATTTCAACCAAATTTGACACCCTCTTAGAGTCTACCATTAGAAGTGTTGTCCAGAAGTTTCATGACCACAGACCCCTAAACAGCGAGGAAAATCGATACCCCCCCAAAAAATACGCCCAGATTATGACTGAACTGCATGTCGGTTTTAGCGAAAACCGAGCGGATTTATGAAGAGGCCATTGGGAGTCATCATGTGAAGTTTCAACTCTGAGCACCCCCCCATCCCCAAACAGAGTGCAAATCGACAATCGGTCAACCCTTAAAAATGTTTTTTTCCGGTTTTTTAAAGCTGATCGTATTGTGTTTATTTTGTTTAGTTCTTTTTTTCGTAACAGATTTAATGTTTACTATAGAGCTTAGAAAAAGTTGGCAGTGTGATATAGGCAAGAAGTAAGGCATGTAACAACATCAGCACGGTAAAGGGTACTCCTCTAATAGCAAGGAAGGGCAAAAATATTTTAAGTCAAGTGATAGCGATTGCTGTATTAGTCGTACTATTTTTAATCAAGCACGGGCAACACCGGGCCATGCTGCTAGTAGTTGATAAATCGTAAAAAAATGATCCCCAACCGTATACAGGTTGACCCAGAATTAACTATTTTTATAAAATCAAGCATTCTTTTTTTCAAGATTAAAACAATTTAATTAATTTTAAGTCTATTACTTAAGTAGCAGAATTACCCGCGCCTTGCTGCGTGTCGTACATTTTTTGTAAGAAAATGAAATTTGATTCTAAATCATTGTCATAATTTGTAGAGAAAAATGATTCATTTCAATATTAGTCAATGAACTTGCCTATGTGACCTCCATCTTCTGGATTTCTCCTTCTATATTTTGGATAGAAATCATTCCCTTGTTCAAATTTAAATTTAATTTAAATCAAAGGGAAGGAAAATTTTCAGTGGTGGTTTGTGCAAAAAGAACTTGATCTGGGGCAATACTTGATTCAGTTAATTGATGAGTAGATTTCAACATTGATATGATAGTTGAATTGTCGCAATAAATATGTATTGTAAGACACTACCAACTGATTGGGGATTTCTTGCTCAACTTGACATACATATTGTCTAATTTTGATCTTGCCTTCTATATTTCGGATATGTTTTATTCTCTTGTTCAAATTTAAATTTAATTTAAATCAAAAGGAAACAAAATTTTCAGCGGGAGATTTATGCCCCCAAACCCAGGAACCGACTTTTATCAAAATGATATATACTTATCTAAGTAACCTTGGTAGTGTACCTTCAGAATATATATGGTTATGGGTGTCTATCTCAAAACCCTAGGAGGAGTTCCATAGCAGACAGACAGACAGAGGGTACAACTTTATATATATATATATACTCGACTCTCCCGTCGAATTCGACGTATGAGGGTCAAGCAGATCAGTTCCTAGGAAACCAACAGCCCGACAACAGCACATGAGATTTGATTATAGTGTTGAAGGTTTCGTGCAAGACCAGCCACACTTTTTGAAGGACCGAATTCAGAATTCAAATTTTCAGCATGTGCTTCCTGCAAATTTGAAATCTATCCTTAAACACATTTTGATGCATTACAAAAGTTCTCTCCTGCCCTGTTTGGTGAATGTGCTTTTTTAAGCTCAGCTAAACGATTGATCTTTTGGCGATAAACGTTTGTTTTTATAAGACCACATGCAAAGAAATCTAGGGGTTTGAAATCAGCAAAGACGCGGTCTTGTGTATTAAATAGTAATAGGCTTCTGAAAGGGAATGAAAATAAAATTGTAAAAAAAAAAAAAAAAATAGCACATTATAAAGTTATAAACAAAATTAGAAATTTATAGAATTCTGGCATAAATTAAATATAATGAGCAGAAATAAAAATGAGTTTAAAAAAACTGACCGATTTCAGTGAAACAGAACAGATAGTTTTGGGACACCCCCCCTCTCTCTCTCTCTCTCTCTCTCTCTCTCTCTCTCTCTCTCTATATATATATATATATATATATATATATATATATATATTTTTATTTTAGGATATTACATCGAAAATGTGTCCAAAAGCATCTCATCAGGCGTTTATAAATTATTGGGCAGTAATTTACAATCGCCTGATGACATGCAATTGTGTAGCGATTTGAACATGTTTTCGATGTAATATCCAAAAAAATAAAGAATATTGCTCTAGTTTGTAGTACTGGAACTGTATTCGTTCTCATCTATATGGATATATATATATATATATATATATATATATATATATATATATATATATATATATATATATATATATATATATATATATATATATATATATATATATATATATATATATATATATATATGAAATATATATATATATATATATATATATATATATATATATATATATATTATATATATATATTTATATATTATATTGCATTACTTTTATTGAAAGCTCAATATCAGTGATAGAGCTAACATATTTTGTTGGATTGATGTGAGTTTGTGACCTGGGTTTCACGCACTCTGCGTTCGTCAAAACCCAGGGTCACAAATTCACATCAATTCATCTAAATACATACACAAACAAACAAAACACACACGCACGCACGCACGCACGCACGCACACACACACACACACACACACACACACACACACACACACATATATATATATATATATATATATATATATATATATATATATATATCAAATAGCAGTTGAGCTGACTAGATGTAGACGTAAGCACTATGCTAACAGTTTTTTCGAACTTCTCACTTGTTGAACTCCCTTCCGGCTCCATGCTTTCCAGACAACTTTAATGTGCAAAAATTTAAATGCAATGTCAATCGCTATCTGCTCTCCTCCTGATTACTCTTTTCTCATTCCACTCATTATTAATGTTTCTGTTCCTAATTAATCCACACTCCGTAAACCCATTTGTTTTAGTGGCTTTATTTCCTTGCATTAATTAATAATACATAAGCGTCAAAATAAATGTACTTCCAATTAATGTGTAAGAAACTAAAGAATGTGGAAATTGTTTCATTTTAATCAAAACTTACAATCCGTCTATATTGCATTGAATGCTGGACAATCTTCTAGATATAGAAGAGGCAACAGAAATATGGTTCTACAGGAAGATGATAAGAATCCCATGGGCTAGACATTTGAGTAATGACGAAGTTTTAATGAAACTAGAAACAAAAAGACACTTTTACTCAGAATCAGAAAGTTACAGTTGAAATCACGAGGACTCAACATAAGAAAAGACGACTGGGTGTTTTAATCAACAACCTATGAAGAGAGGAACTTTTTAATCCTTTAAATAGATGATACATATGTAGAAGCTGTCATCTGCTTATCACATACCCGAAGTGAAATCACATGTACTTTTATATAAATTGGCTGGCGCTACTTAAATATACAGGTCCATTCGTAAAAAATAGGGAAAAATAGATTAACGTATGTCGGAAATTCTTTAAACATCTACTATAATTCTTTAAACACCAGAAGTGAACTATATAAACTTGTCATTTTATAAGCGGGGCCTTCCTGACAATATCTAAAAAGTGTAAAAGCGTTCCCTGACTTTTCACAGAGTTATTTAACTTAGGTGTTTGGGTTCAAATGTCAAATTTGGAAATTACGTCATTGATATTTCCGTTTATGTTTTTATATTACGAAAAATCCGTTTAAATATGAACAAACTGAGGAACACATTTTTATGTGTTACTTTAAGAATATATTTTAAACACATAAATTTCGCATATTTTTTCCGTTAACAGGTTTAAAGTAGTGCCACATTTTAAATTAATTTTTTTTTTAAAAAAAATATGCATAAGTTCACAAAAGTATAAAAAAAAATGCAGATATCACTGACGTACACACATTTTTCGAGGCGCGACATTTAGCTGCAGATAAGTCAGAAATCGATTTGATAGTGATGACGTTATAAACTTCTAAATCGAAAAAAAAAATCAATATTTTTCGATTCTGGCATATAGCTCAGCTTAAGTAAGTTCTAATGAATAGTCGCCTTCAAAAATTATTACCCGGAAATTTTTACTCTTTTATTACGAGGGGCCCACTCTATTTAAGTAGTCCCCATTTATTATATATATATATATATATATTGATCATTTTATCATAAGTAAGGCAATAAAGCCACTAAGACGCAAAGGGTTATTGAATGTTAGAAAATATCAGAAATAATCATTATCAAGCATAAGGAATATAGAAAGACAGATTATAATACGCGTTGCATTTAATGTCTTAAGTTCAATGTTGACTGGAAAGTAATAAACCTGAAGAGAGTTCCACAGGCGAGAAGTGCGATAGAAGAAAATGTTAATATAGCTAAGTTAACTCTAGCTATTTCAACAGTCATTTTTCCTGATCTAGTGTCTCGGCTTCAGTCACTTTCCTACCACCGGAATGAGTTCTCTTCCAGCTCCGTTTTTTCTAACAAATTTTAATCTTCAAAAGTTTAAATGCAATGTTAATCGCTATCTGCTGTCCTCCTGATAATTCCTCTTTTGTTCTTGATCCTCAGTAAAGTTCCTGTTTCCTAATTCTTCCATAG